ACAGCTCCAAAATGGCACGGGGTGGCGGGGGGGACGGGGACGGGGAGGGGGGTGTGTGGGACACCTGCAATGCCCCCTCCACCTTCCCCAGGCTCTTAGGGTTCTCCTTGTTAAAAGCAACCCTCAAATAGCTTCCCAAAAAAGAGCTGGGGATGCCAAAAGCAGGGAAGACAGAGAGGATTTGCCTAGTGCTCAGAGGAGTGAGCAAACTCCAGGTGCTTCTCCAAAACCCAACTCAACAGGAGTCCTCCCTCTCCACCACGAACTTCTTACGGACCCAAACTACTGGATGCCAACATGGAATTGGGAGGGAAGCACCTACCTGGGCTCCAGGCGCAGCCATGAGAGCTGTACCTGCATGGGAAGACAGAGGTGAGCAAGCAGAAACCTGGATTTTCCCCATGAGAGGTGGGTTTTAATGGGGTTTGAGCCCCACTCGTGACCTGTCAAGGAGGAACTGGGCCAACTGGGAATGCAGGGCGAATCCAAGCTGCTCCTTGAGGCGGCACCAGCGCTCCAAGTGCCCCCCGATGCGGATGCGGCACTTGCTGCGTCGCGCGTCCAGTTCCCGGCGCTTCTGGCGCCGGACGCACTCCGGGGCCTGCGGACGACACGTGTGGGCTGAGTCTATGGGAAGGGTTGGGGGCATACAGCAGGGTCGGAGGGGGATACAGGGCTGGTCTGAGCATGGAGGGGTCAGATGGGGAATTTGGGGTATCATGGCTCCATAGGAGAGTCTGGGGGTCACACATAAACACGGGAAGGGGACATGGACACGGTCCTGTTGCACGGGTGGTCAGTCCTGGAGGTTCATGGAGGACATCGGGGAATATGGGGAAGCGCTGAGGGTTGATAGGGGACATGGTGGGGGGAGACACAGGGGTGGCGCAGCATCATGGAGGGGATCAGGAGACGGTTGGGTGAGGAATTAGGGTTCCCTGGCTCCACACTGGTGTTATGGGGGGGGGACATAGGGGGTGGCCTAGGAACATGGAGGGGGTCACAAG